TTAAAAAAATCTCTTCACTGTTGTTTTAGTGAGGTTTTGGGAAGGAATGAAAGTAAATGTGGGTATTTGATTCTCCATCTTTATTTGGAATCTCTTTATAATTAAATTTTTTTTTTTTTACTTCTATTTAATACTACAGCATAAACATTTCCCCTATTCTTATATGGTCTGTTACAGCTTTAATAACTGCATCTCATTCCACTGAGTTGTTGCCATTACTGAATTGTTCCCTATGTTTGGATGTCTAGAGTTGTTTCTGGGGAGGAGGGGACAAGCTTTTCCGGAGTCGCCTCCATTTACCTAGGAACAACTTGTTGACATTTGTTGACATTTTCCTCTCACTCTCAGCTCCTGGTTTCATTTCTGCCTTGTATCCTGACTATGGCACTACCTTGTGCAAATTTAATTCATCTTCAAACTGCCAGGTCATCCTGCAAATGACGCAGCCCTATTCCTTCTAAAATGTCAGTTTTCTCATGACACTTTGGAGGAACCCTAATGTCTAGACTTCATTTGTGACAGGCATTTGTGGTACCCACAGTTTGATTCTGTCCCACCTACCCAAACTTATCACCCTCCCTGAGATGTCCCCCTTCTGACAGAGCCTGCCTTCCTAACCACAGTGCAAGCTGCCCCCTCCTGCGGCTGCCAATCCATCCTCACCTTCATTTCGACCTTATCTCCTGCACTAAGCCTCCCCCACATGACTTTGCTGACCATTTCTTCCTTCACCCAATAATGATAAGAAACTAGTAACTGTTTTCTAACTGCTTAGGGTCAGTCTTGCCTTTTAAATGGACTGATGGCTCTTCAGAGGCAGAGGCTCTTTTTTTTTTTTCATTATATATAATTTTTATTGTTATTTTTTTATTAAGGTATCATTGATATACAATCACACGAAGGTTTTACAGGAAACATTGTGCTTACTCATTCACCCTTATTATCAACTCCCTCCCCACCCCACTGCAGTCACTGTCCATCAGCGTAGTAAGATATAATTGAGTCGCTACTTGTCTTCTCTGTGCTATATTGCAGAGGCAGAGGCTCTTGTATGTTCTGTATGGCAGCTGCCCCTATACTGGCCCCATCCAACCACCATGGACTCCAGCCCAGTGCCAGGCACACAGTGGGTGCTTAACAGGGACTCAATGGAATGGACATGCATGTATGTTGTTACCTTGCCCTCTGGAGTCAGCGTCCAGATCACAGAGAAAGTCAGTTTGTCTGTCATGGGATTGAGACTGCACAGCTCCTCACACAGCAGCCTGGGAAGCATGGGGACTACCTGCAAAGAGAACAGGCCATGAGCACTTCCTCCAATCCAAGGGAGTCGGCCTCAGGCTTAGAAGCAGCCCAGAGGGCAGGTTTGGGTGAACAGCTTGAGTTTTCAGAGTGAGCTGAAGATGGAGGCTACTCATTTCCCCAAAGACTCTGCAGAAAGAGCACACAGTCTGATACCCTTCCATGGGCCTCGAGAGTCAACTGGGAATGTGAACTGGAAAAGTGAGAAGAGCACATAACAAAGGGGAAAATATACATTATAGCAATGAAAAAATAACTACATTTTACAATACAGTTGATCCTTGAACAATGTGGGGCATTAGGAGTGCTGATTACCATGCATAACCTTTGACTTCCTCAAAATTAATAGTCTACTGTTGACCAGAAGCCTTAGTAATAACATAAACAGTTGACTTAAACATTTGGCGTAAGTGTTAGATATCTATATTCCCACAATAAAGTAATCTAGAGAAAAGAAAATGTTTTTCAAATTGTGGCAAATCTCCAAAACTTTCCACAGAATTTATTAATCCACATACACACAAGCTCTGAGGTCCTCAATAATTTTTTAGGGTAACAGGTCCTGAGATTAAAAAGTTTGATAACTGCTAGTCTCAAGAAATTCAGACACACTGATGGTTTAACTCTTTCATTTTCTCAAAGACATCTCTCCTCAGACTTCGGGCCAGCCGCGACCTGGGTCAGCTGCCTCCTATTTCCCATATGGAGCTGGTTCCCTAGGAACTTTCTTCACCATCATCTAGGTTAGGTATCAGCAAATTATGGCTTGTGGGCCAAACCCAGCCTGCTACCTGTTTTTAAGTAAAGTTTTACTAGAACACAGCCATACTCATTCATTTATATATCACCTTTTTTCACGCTACAGTGGCAGAGTTGAGTAGCTACAACAGAGACCGAATGGCCTATAAAGCCAAAAATATTCACTATCTGGTCGGTCCTTTGTTGGACCTTGTTGGACCAAAGGAAAAGGACCTTTGTGTGATCTAGGTGATTGTTACACTTCTTTCCAAGGCTTGTTAATTTGTTTCCTGAATCCTATGTCTTCCTCCTTCCTGATTTACTCCTTCGTTTTGGTGAAGCACGTCTTCTGGTAGCTTCCTGAGAAAGGGTGTATGAAAGGTACTTTTTTTTCTGAGAACTTGCATGTCTGAAAATGTCCTTTCCTACTCTCACAATTTATTAATAGCTTAACTGGATACAGAATTTTAGCACAGAAACCATAGTCTTTCAGAAATTAGGAAGCTTTGCTTCATTGTCATCTAACTTCTAGGGGTTATGATAGAAAAGTCTACTGTACATGGCCCCTTTTTTCTTTTTCCTCCTTAGAAGCCTATATGATCTTTTCTTTGTCCTTGGTGTTCTGAAATTTTATGAAGATGTGGCTCGGAGATGGTAAGTCTCTACCATTGCACTGGGCACTGGGCTCTTTCAATCTGGAAAGTCACATCCTCCAGAAAAGGGGCATTTCCTTGAAATTATTTTGTTGACTATTTCTTCCCCCTGTTTTCTTTGCTGTTCATTAAACAGATATTGGATATCTTGGACTGGTCGACTGGTCTTCTAACTTTCTTATCTTTTCTATCCTTTTCCAGGACAATTCCTCAAACTTTATCTTATAACCAGAATCTTGAGTTTTCTTCATCTCTTCTACCACATTGTAAATTTCTAAGACTTCTTTTTTTCCCTCCTCTGAATGTTTCTTTTTTAAAGTATCTAGATCTTGTGATATATTCCCCTTTAAAAAAAATTCTCTGAGGATATAAATGATAGTTTCTTTTCCCTGTACAGTCTGTTTTGTCCTACTTGCTTTTTTATGTTTATAGCTTTGGTTTTCCTATTTCACATCAGAGGCTTTCCTCTTGGTTGTCTCTCCACACACCAAAGTGAAATACTAAAAGGCTGAGTTTTAGTGAAAGCCTAAAAAGCTCTACTTTTGTGGTGGAGTCTATTAAGCTTTACTGTAGGAAGATACAACTGGGCTGTTGGTTGGGAAACCCTTGAAGTTATTTCCTTTAAATTTTCTTTATGCTCAGATTCCTCAGAGAAAGACTTTCCCATCTCCTGACTCAAGGGTATAGGCTTGGCAACTAGACTTCTGGGGTTGGCTGGAAAAGCAAGCCGGGACTCCCGACATTTGGTCTGCCAGCAGCGTTCACTCAGCCGCTGCCATCAAGTGTGCTCAGTGTCCTAGTTCACACATCCTTTACTTGATCCTGTCCAGAGAATACATTTTTGATCTTCTAAGTTATGGAAGGGGCAGTCTTTTAAGATGAACTTTCAACCAATATAGTCTCCTCTTTGCCCACTTCTCCCCACTAAGAGTTACCTGGTGCTGTCATTTCTGAATTTCTTTAGGGTTCTGCTTTGTAAAATTGGGTTGTTTCTTGGCTTTCTTTACTGCTGTCTCAGGCACCAGCTCTCTGGGACCGCTAAGTCAGTCCCACGCATCCGCTTCCCGGCTCCCAAATCTTTGTTGCTGTTGTCTCTGCTCCCGTTCTCTCGTCCTTGTGGGTTTATGTCTTTAAAAAAATCTCTTCACTGTTGTTTTAGTGAGGTTTTGGGAAGGAATGAAAGTAAATGTGGGTATTTGATTCTCCATCTTTATTTGGAATCTCTTTATAATTAAATTTTTTTTTTTTTACTTCTATTTAATACTACAGCATAAACATTTCCCCTATTCTTATATGGTCTGTTACAGCTTTAATAACTGCATCTCATTCCACTGAGTTGTTGCCATTACTGAATTGTTCCCTATGTTTGGATGTCTAGAGTTGTTTCTGGGGAGGAGGGGACAAGCTTTTCCGGAGTCGCCTCCATTTACCTAGGAACAACCTGTTGACATTTGTTGACATTTTCCTCTCACTCTCAGCTCCTGGTTTCATTTCTGCCTTGTATCCTGACTATGGCACTACCTTGTGCAAATTTAATTCATCTTCAAACTGCCAGGTCATCCTGCAAATGATGCAGCCCTATTCCTTCTAAAATGTCAGTTTTCTCATGACACTTTGGAGGAACCCTAATGTCTAGACTTCATTTGTGACAGGCATTTGTGGTACCCACAGTTTGATTCTGTCCCACCTACCCAAACTTATCACCCTCCCTGAGATGTCCCCCTTCTGACAGAGCCTGCCTTCCTAACCACAGTGCAAGCTGCCCCCTCCTGCGGCTGCCAATCCATCCTCACCTTCATTTCGACCTTATCTCCTGCACTAAGCCTCCCCCACATGACTTTGCTGACCATTTCTTCCTTCACCCAATAATGATAAGAAACTAGTAACTGTTTTCTAACTGCTTAGGGTCAGTCTTGCCTTTTAAATGGACTGATGGCTCTTCAGAGGCAGAGGCTCTTTTTTTTTTTTCATTATATATAAATTTTATTGTTATTTTTTTATTAAGGTATCATTGATATACAATCACACGAAGGTTTTACAGGAAACATTGTGCTTACTCATTCACCCTTATTATCAACTCCCTCCCCACCCCACTGCAGTCACTGTCCATCAGCGTAGTAAGATATAATTGAGTCGCTACTTGTCTTCTCTGTGCTATATTGCAGAGGCAGAGGCTCTTGTATGTTCTGTATGGCAGCTGCCCCTATACTGGCCCCATCCAACCACCATGGACTCCAGCCCAGTGCCAGGCACACAGTGGGTGCTTAACAGGGACTCAATGGAATGGACATGCATGTATGTTGTTACCTTGCCCTCTGGAGTCAGCGTCCAGATCACAGAGAAAGTCAGTTTGTCTGTCATGGGATTGAGACTGCACAGCTCCTCACACAGCAGCCTGGGAAGCATGGGGACTACCTGCAAAGAGAACAGGCCATGAGCACTTCCTCCAATCCAAGGGAGTCGGCCTCAGGCTTAGAAGCAGCCCAGAGGGCAGGTTTGGGTGAACAGCTTGAGTTTTCAGAGTGAGCTGAAGATGGAGGCTACTCATTTCCCCAAAGACTCTGCAGAAAGAGCACACAGTCTGATACCCTTCCATGGGCCTCGAGAGTCAACTGGGAATGTGAACTGGAAAAGTGAGAAGAGCACATAACAAAGGGGAAAATATACATTATAGCAATGAAAAAATAACTACATTTTACAATACAGTTGATCCTTGAACAATGTGGGGCATTAGGAGTGCTGATTACCATGCATAACCTTTGACTTCCTCAAAATTAATAGTCTACTGTTGACCAGAAGCCTTAGTAGTAATAACATAAACAGTTGACTTAAACATTTGGCGTAAGTGTTAGATATCTATATTCCCACAATAAAGTAATCTAGAGAAAAGAAAATGTTTTTCAAATTGTGGCAAATCTCCAAAACTTTCCACAGAATTTATTGAAAAACATCCTCATATAAGGGGGTCCATGCAGTTCAAACCTGTGTTGTTCAAGGGTCAACTGTATACTAAAACCGAAGCTCTAGACTCAAGAATGACTTATATTTTTGGATATAATTTCATTTCAACTACATACTTAAGAACCAAAGATCTTATAGTTAAGTCTTCAATTAATTTTGAGTTAATTTTTGTGCAGGGTGTAAGTTAAGGGTCCAGTTTCATTCTTTTACATGTGGATGTCAGTTTTTCCAGCAACATTTATTGAAGAGACTGTACCTGCCCCGTTGTGTGTTCTGGCACCCTTGTGAAAGATTTGTCGACCATATATACATGGGTTTATTTTTGGGCTGTCTATTCTGTTCATTGGTTGATGTGTCTGTTTTTATGCTAGTACCATACTGTTTTGATATTGTAGCTTTGTAATAAATAGAGTTTGAAATAAAAAATATGATGCCTCCAGCTCTGCCTTTCTTTCTCAAGGTTGCTTTGGCTATTCAGCGTCTTTTGTGGTCCCATATGTTTTTTTAAGATAGTTTTCCTATTTTTGTGAAAAATGCTATTGGAATTTTGATAAGGATTACATTGAATGTGTAGATCACTTGGGGTAGTATAGACATATGAACAACATTAATTTTTCCAATCAAAGAACACAAGATATCTTTCCACTTATTTGTATCTTCACCAATTTCTTTCAACAGTATTTTATAGTTTTTAGTGTATGGGTCTTTTACCTCTTTGGTTACATTTAGTCCTAAGTATTTTATTATTTTTGATGCTATTGCAAGTGTGATTGTTTTCTTAAATTCTGTATCACCTCACATCTATTAGGATGGCTATTATCAAAAAGAAAAGAGATAAATGTTGATGAGGATGTGAAAAAAAGGGGAATCCTTGTACATTATTGGGGAAATGTAAGTTGGTATAGACATTGTGGGAAACAGTATGGAGGTACCTCAAAAAATTAAAAAAGAACTATCATACGATCCAGGAATGCCACTTCTGGGTATTCATCTGAAGGAAATGGAATCACTACTTCAAAGAGATATATGCATTCCCATGTTCACTGCAGTATATTCACAATAGCCAAAACAATTTAAGTGTCTACTGATGGATCAATGGAATATTATTCATCCATAAAAAAGAGGACATCCTGCTGGGTCATTTCAAAGAGGGCTTGTGGGACCAAAACCAGGAGCTCTTAACGGTGTGACCAAATACTGAAGTTCTCCATAGGATGTAATAGCCACTAATGTAAGTGCTGTTTTCCTGAGGAGATACAAGATTTAGCCACTCATGTCTATATCCACAATTAAAGTCTAACCCATGCCTACTCTCTTTAGGGCTATTTTTATTGAAGATCACGCCTCACTTTGGAGAAGCAAAGGCAATTGGCAGTGGAAGGAACCACACCATACTAAGTTCTTTAAAAATTTATTGACTTATGTTACCTATGTTACATAATAAAAACAACCCTTTACAGTTAAAAAAAAAAAAGGACATCCTGCCATTTTTGACAACACGGATGAACCTAGAGAACATCATGCTAAGTGAAGCCAGAAAGAGAAATACAAATATTGTATTTTATCACTTGGGTGCGGAATTTTTTAAAAAGCTGATTTCATTGAAACAGAGGGTGGAAGGGTGGTTGCCAGGGCCTCAGAGGGAGGGGGAAATAGGAAGATGTAGGTCAAACGGTCTATACTTTCAGTTGTGAGTAAGTCTGAGGAGCTAAGGCATAGCACGGTGACTCTAGTTAATAACAGAATTTTGTATGCTTGAAATTTGCTGAGAGTAAATCTTAAATGTTCTTACCACACACACACACACACACACACACAAATTAACTATGTGAGGTGAAGGATGTGTTAATTATCTTGATCTTGGCAATCATTTCACTATGTATATGTATACCAAACCATCATATTGTATACTTTAAATATATACAATTTTATTTGTCAATGATTTCTCAATAAAGCTGGGAAAAATAAAAGAACCCGAGAGATAATCTGTAAACTCATGACAGGGTTATCAAAGTAAAATTACTGAATCAATGGTTTAGTAACTGAAAATACCACAACTGATCAAATCACATGTTGGAACACTAAGTGAATACTCCAATAAAATATCACTGGATCACGCATCACGGAAAGATTCATAAATCTAAGCTCTCTAGATGGAATGCTATGGTCAACTAGTCCCTCATTTTGCAGATGTTCCCTAAATCATTTCTTTCCTTTATTGATCGTTCTATCCCCATAATAAACTGATTCAGTGGTATACCCTCTTCAACTTCCTTTCAAATGATGACTTACAGTTATCCCATAATGTTGTTTTCTTTAAAATTCCAAAGATAAAATGAGTATCTCTATGTGGATCTCTTGGAGATACTTCAAACTCTTTCCTGCCTACCTTTAAATATATTTCTTCTCTGATATTTTTCTTGATTGATGGCATCATCATTCACCCCACCTCCCAAACTAAAAATGGCAGCATTAACAGCCATTTATTCAACACACTTCCTGTAGACCTACTTAATTTGTGGTGTTAAGCACAGGTAACCCTGTAACCCTGTGTGGAGTAATAGGAAGAGAGGCAACTAGGCACCAACTGTAGTAAAGTTATTTGTTAGTTTCTTTATCAGCAAAAACAAAACAAAACCCAGTGGTTTCTTGCTCTGTGTGAAGTGTCTGTAATTGTATTCTGTTTCAGTACAGTAAATAACCTCTGGTACGGAAAAGTAAATTCTAGAATGCATGACCCATACCGGTTACAAGTAATTAATAATTGTATGGCATTACTTGGTATTATTCTAAAGGATGCAGTATCTCTTTAACACCTAGGTTAAGTCTAATGACTACGTTCTGAGGATCTAAGAAAACTGCTGGTAACAGCTTCTATAAGACAAGCACTTTTGAAACTTTTTCTTGCTTTAGCTTTTGCACCATGTGTTCAGATGACACTATATTTTATTAACTTACTTAATGAGTATTAAAATGTGATCCAATAGTTGACATTTTCTTGCATGTATCAACTGTTTTACAAAATAATACATCTTCACCTTCATATACATATTATACAGAATGGAGAAAGTTCTAATACCATACTGTTTCATGACTGATTTTTAAAGATTTCACATAATTTCAGCCTTTGAACGATGCTATTGACAGAACTGTGTGCCCCCCAAACTCCTAGGTCCAAGCACTAACCCTCAATGTGACTGTATTTGGAAGTGGAGTCTTCAGTACATAATTCAGGTTAACTGAGGTCATAAGGGTAGAGCCCTAACCTGATACAAAGAGATATAACTGCCCCCTTCCTGCCTAGCACACACACAGAAAAAAAGGCCATGTGAGGACACAACCATCTACAAGCCAGGATGAGAGTCCTCGCTAGGAACAAAGTTGGCCAGCATCTTCATCTGGGGCTCCTAGCCTCCAGAACTGTGAAACAACAACAAAGTCTGTTGGTGAAGCTGCCCAGTTGATGGTATATTGTATGACAGCCCCAGCGGAGTAAGACAGACTATATTGAGTTTGTTGAATGCATATTCTTGCATTCTGCTCTGGGCTGCATTATCAGATTATTACACCAACTGCACTTTGATACAGGCTCTCACCCCATATGCTTATAATCCAGGGCTTAATAACTCTTTCAGATAGCTTATAGTTCTATCTGAGAATGTAACAGAATTCCTGACTTCATATTTTTAGTGCTTGTCAAAAAAATGTCAATGTCATTGCAACTAAATGCAATGTGGTACTCTGGACTGGACCCTGAAATAGAAAGATGACATTAGTGGAGAATACTAGTGAAATCCAAATAAAGTATGGATTTTAGTAAATAGTAATGCTCCCACATCAGCTTCACAGTTCTGACAAACTATAAGATGTAAGAAATTAATAGGGAAACTGGGTGTGGGGAAATGGGACCTCTCTGTATTGTCTCTGCTACTTCTTTATAAATATAAAATAATCCCAAAATAAGAAGCCTGTTAAAAAGAAAGCTACTGTTTTTACTAATTGATCTCCTAAGTGTTATACATCTAAGTATGGAAGAAATTTATGCTAATGAGATATAACCCGGTCTATTTTTATATATTGGAGTTTGGGGGTTAAGATTTCATTTGCAAAATGGCCTTTACTACTGAAAAAACAAAGTCTAAAGACCATTAGCCAATAGAGTGAGGTCCACACTCATGAGCAGCAGAATGCCCAGACAGACGTGGGGTCTCAGCCTGAGCCCACCACTTCCTACACACTTCGGGCAAGCTAGTATAATTCTGAGTCTCAGCTCTCTTATCAGTAAAACAGTACTGATGCTCAATGAAAGTGAACTCCTGGCCATCCCACCGCCTACCTGGCTCAGCCCCCTTCAGCCATAGCCCTGGTGCTCCCTTCCTGCACAGCGGCCAGTGCCACAAGGACCTGCCCACGGCACACCCATCACCTGCCAGGCCTGCCCGCTGCTCCAGCTC